CCTTCAGGGAGCTAGAATATCGGCACCGTGGAGTCAAAGTGCTGGGAACGCCAGGGCCTGTGCAGGAGCCTCGAATCACACCCCACAAATGTCCCTTGCCCAGTACAATTTCCTGCAAAGGCTGGCCCTGATGCTTCCTCTCTGAGCAACAACCCTCTGTTTCTGAACTCACAACTCGATTCCTGCTGGAGGCAATGTTGAGCTGGTAGATCAGAGGCAACTAGCCAGACGCAGAGCGGCTGGCAGCCAGGTTCTTTACAAACTCTTTGAAAATGCGTTTTAAATAATGGAGGCAAGCAAAAGAGACGAACTGGCCTCCCGGCCCTCCCGCAGCCCTGGGGGAGGCCTCCGTGGCTCACTCCCCAGGAATGCAGAGCTCCACTGACAGCACGCCTGTGCTGGAGAAGGTGTGGAGGACGACCCGCCCAATATTGATTTCTGAGACAGAGTCAGGAACGAATGACAGAATCTGCTCGACTGCGGTCTCTGGAGGCTACCGGCAGAAATGTAGGACAACGGTTAAAGCATTTGCCAAAATATTCTCCCTCTCTTGTCCTCCCCAACTTCAGTCTCTGGTTTCAGCTTTGCTGGTGAACACTTTGGCCTAACACAGAGGCTTACAGACTAAAAACCGGGCAGCTCAGCCAAGGGCCCGCGGTGCAGGACTCCGTCAGGCAGGAGTTGGCACAAGGGGCTGCTGTGAAGGGTCAGCTCAGCCGCCCCAAGCATTGCTTTGATGCTTAGGGTCTTTGTGGAAAGGACCTGTGAGGAAACACCTGCTTGGGCTTGTCTGATGGGTGGGAGGAGAGGAAGAACAGGTAGTGTGGTTCCTCTTCAGAAAGCAAAGCATCAAGCTACAGCACAACCCTCTCAGCTGCTCTTCTCTCTGCTGCTGAAACCAAAGACCTTTCTAAGACCGTCTCCAGTCCCTGTAGGCAGCTGCGGTCCTGACCCATTGCCCCCATTAGAAAATTGAACTCCTCTCCTCTCCTCACCTGCTCCCCCTCTCATTTAAAGGAGCTGAATGTGTCACCGGCTATGCCCCCTGCCCAGCCACTGGGGGTCCCCATCAGGGAGGCTGGATCCACAGGATGGGTCTAAGAGAAGTTGTCCACTCATTGTCCACTGCACAGCTGATCTTCATGGTGGCCTGCTTGTTCTCACCTTACAAGGGCTCTGAGAGTTTTCTGGTGGGGGTTGAGGGCAGCCCTGGGTCCAGAAGCCACTAATGGGGCTTCTACCTTGTAGGCAGGACAACAAGAGGATGAGGGGTGGGACTTCCTTGCCTCACTGCTGTGGCAGAGGCCACTGAGAAAGCTCTTGCCCCAGAGGAGTGAGCAGACGCCCCTTCTGGAAAAGATGGCCCTGCTCTGAGGTTCTCCATCATTTCTCCACGGAGGATGCACAGGACCACACTTTCAGCAGCTTAGGTGCAACTGCCCCACACAGCTGAAATGCCCCCACTTTCCCTCCCACTCAGGAAAGCAGACTGTTGTGTAAGAGAATGACAGCTACGTTATTTTAGGTTTAACTTTGAATCTGCTCTCATGTATTTAAACTCAATTATTTTCCAACTTTGGCATTTATTTGCTGCAAATAATTTGCAAAACAACTTCTAAGAGTGAGTTATAAGAGCATGACTAAGAATACTATCGTAGAAAGTAAGTGACATGGGGGTGTGAGAAGCAGAGTCGTGTGTGTAAAAAGACTGTAAAAAAGAATTTTTCTACTTTTCTTTCCTTTCTACCCTCACCCGTAATCTTTATTCTGGATCTGCCTCTCCAGAAATGTAGAAAGGCCAGGAAAAGGACCAAGAGGAATCTCTGTTTTCAACTTGGAAAATACAAATACAGGATACTTAGAAGGCTAGAAATAAGGTGTGAAGAAAGCAGTGAGTCCTAAGTGTGTCACTTAACTGAATATTATGTGACATAACCCACCTGCATAATATTTTTAGAATCTTTGGAGAGAATGAAGAAAGAGCTGTTAGCATCTTTTTTAAAAAGTTTCACAACGGATTATCTGGTATCTTCCCACACAGTCACAGCAATGGTTTCACTAAGCTCTACCTAGAGAAGATGTTTCCTTAAACTCAGCAGGCAGTATCCCTTTGTGAGGTCTGAATGTATACGACATGGGTTTTGAAACTTCAAACATCACACAAAGAATGCAAATTATTTAAATGGTCTTGCTATTTGGTGGCAGAATGACTCAGACCCAAATCAGAAAATAGTCAAGCAGAAAAATCCAGAAGGGTCTGAAAGGAGTGGTGGAAGAGATCTGGTTGCTAATCATCCCTAATTCACCTCCTACTCCTTTGGAGCAAAAAAGAGTCTAAAGTTCTAATAGTACTGTGAATGAAAAAAATTCTGGAAACAAAATTAGCATGACTCAGAGGAGAGCAATCTGGAAGACTGGGCTTGCCTGGCACATACCCCAGGCTGACCCCATTAACAGCGGGAGAGAGAGGAAGCTGCCCGTGTGCCTCCCAGTGATGGAGGTATGGGTGGAGCAAGATCAACAGACAGGAAGCCCCACAGACAAGCAGAAAGAGTTATGACCGACACAGGAGGGGCCAGGCCTGGGTGTAGAACTGGAGGCTGATTTGAAGCAGGGGATGGCCTAAAGTCAAGGGGGCAACCAGCCCTGTGGCACAGGTACCAGAGGCTGAAAGACAGGAGTCATAGAGTAAGCAGAGTTAGAGACTTTGCTATATTTATACACATACACACACTCATACATGCACACACTCACATGCATGCACACACCGTGAGCTCCCTGAGAACAAGAATGTCTTTTACTCCCTCTGTATCCCCAGCACCTTACAACAGTGTCAGCCAATAGCAGGTTTCCAATAAGTGCTTTTGAAATTGAAAATGAAGAAGTGAGCTGGGCCATACGGGCAGTGGCCTGGGAAGGTACTGATGCAGATGCCAAGTCGGGCACAACGGTCGGTCAGTCTGAGCTGGCTGTTGGGGATAAGATAGGAATCAGAGGGAATAGAAGTGTTGCAGGCAGCAGCAGGGTTAGAAATGCTGGCGGCTGGTCCAGGCAGCTGAGATGTGGCTCTGGCAACAAGGAGCTCTCACTTCTGAAGCTGTCTTCAGCAAGAGGAACATAGCACAGCACTGAAGAATGCAGGGCTGGCGTCAGGGTCCCTGGGCTCATGTCTCTGCCTGCTGCTTACTAACTAAGAGACTGTGGATCACTTATTGATCCTCTTGATACTCAATTCCTTATCTGTAAAATGAGAACAATAACAGTACTTAGCACAAACAGTTTTTGGGGGACTAAATGAGTTATTATGCATTAAGTGTTTAGAGCAGTGCCTGGAATATAGTGAGTGCTCAATAGATATTAGTGATTACTAGTATTAATTATCATTCTCCTCTGAAGTATCTGTCCTTCACTGCTACTTGCATAGTTCAAGTCCTCACCTTTTTTTGCATGGACCGTTGCAGTAGTCTTGCTGACTCTCTGTCCTTAGTCTCAGTCTTATCCAGACAGAAATGATCTTTCTAAAGTGCAAATCTAATCAGACTGTCTCACTCGCCTGCCTAATATCCTTCAAGATTTCCTTTTGCCCTCAAGATCCTTTGGGTTTCCTTTCCCAAAAAGGATAGGAGAGCTCCTTGGAGAAATAGCTGACTCTAGGACTGGGGCAGGAAATATATAAAAAGAACCTGGAACATTTTGTAGTGCCAGAAAGTAAGGAAGCGCTCAAACAAACAAACAAAAAACCCTACAATGATGGAGGCATGTCAAAGGGACACAGGAACCAACTCAAAAGAGCTCCCAATGGCCAAAGCTGGAACAATTTGAACAACAAAATAAACAAAATAGCATTGGATTATAACTTAAAGTATAAAATAAATATCCACGAGACCATATTAATGTAAGTAAAAGATTGAATAAATAAATAAGTGGTAGAGAAGAGACAAATTTCCCCTGCAGAAGAATTCCAAATAAATCATGTAGCTACTCCACCCTCGAGGAGAGCTCCGTCACTGTGGGCTGAGCATTGTGACTTCCTTCCAAACCGGATAGCATGGTCACAGGAGAAAAAGACTTCATGGTGGAGAAACCTGAGAAACGCTGTCTTGGCCAGGTGATCAAGGTCAACCTCAACACTGTCACTCATAAGTGAGAAATTTCCTGTGTTAATAGTATGTACATTTGATATGATGTGATGAGAATGAATTTTCCTCCCCAAACTCATAACTCCAGGCTAATCAGGAGAAAAACATCAGACAAACCCAATAGAGGGATGTTCTACAAAACACCTCATCAGTACTCCTCAAAGCTGTCAAGGTCATCAAAAACAAGAAAGCCTAAGAAACTGTCAGAGCCAAGAGGAGCTTAAGGTGACATAACAACTCCTGGAACAGAAAAAGAAGATTAGGTGAAAACTAAGGAAATCTGAATCAAGTGTTGACTTTCGTTAAAAACAATGTTTCAATATTGGCTGGTCATTTGTGACATACATACCCTACTAATGTAAGACGTTAATAATAGGAGAAACCGGGTGTGGGATTGTACTTGGGAACTCTATACAATTTTCACAATTTTTCTATAAATCTAAAACTATTCTAAAAATTAAAATTCGTTAAAATGATAGAAAAAAGATAGGAGAGAATTAAAAGACGAACTTTCCCTTTTTCAGGATTCTGATAGTCTCAGTTACCGTTCCACCAAGCTCATTCCCAAATCAGCAGCAACATCGCCACTACCCATAGGCACACTCAGACTCTGAGTTCTTCAGAGAGATGACAACAGCGGTGACCCCACTTTCTCCATTTAGAATACAGGAGTCACCCTCATTTGTCGTCTCATCATACGTAGGCCGCAGGGCATAGAACTGAGGGAAAACTTGGGCTCTGGAAGGAGGCCAGCTGGCTCTGCCATGAACTGGACAAATTTCTGACCCTCTCTGAACCCATTTCCTCACCTATAAAATGATAAAATAATAATACTTAGCACATAGAGTTGTTGAGATAATATAATGAGATAATGCATAAAAATGCTTAACACAGTGCATGGCAGGTAATGACTATGAAGCGTTACCATCTTATTCTTCCCAGACTCTGCCAGTAGAGCCCAGTGTGTAGACTCTACATGCAGGACAAACAGAAATAGAGCCTGCTCTCTAGCAGTTTCTTATCAGACTGAAGCGGGCTGATATAGTGGGAGTTAGAATACACATCAGGCAGTGAATTGTCTGAGAGACTTGGCCAGAACTAGTCGAGGAGCTCACGCTGCCATGTAGTGAAATGCTTTCAGAGGCTGCACCTTTGGAAGGGAGGCCATGTTGAGGCCTAACATTTACCCTGAGGCAACCCACTTGGCCATTCTCTGACTGGATTGATTTCCACGGGATCAGGAAGCTCTGTTTTAATATGTTCCAGCTAGTTTTCAGCCTACAGAATGATTACAATCAGATCGAAACCAGTTTGAGAAGAATTTGCCAGTAAAATGTCATGAGACTGAGAGCCAATTCTTTATTACTTCAATAATTCTAAACATACAACAACTACAGTTTACCACAACCAATTGTGTTTTTGTAATTTTAACACAAATAACGATTGAGCGTGTCTGGGATGATGTGTTCTCAGCATTTTGTGCTCACCCTGCCTATTGAGCATAATTCTATCCTCCCCACTGGGGTTTACCAAGGTTCTCCTTTATAACTGTTTAGCTATCTGACCAGATGGAGATGCCACTGGAAGAGGTGTTGTTGCTGGCATCTCTGTCCTTCCTTTCTGAGGAACAGCAGAGCAATTCCCTGTCTCCATCCAACTGTGTAATTTCCCGGCAGAGCGGAGAAGCTCCTGGAATGCCAGGTCTCGAGGCTGAGTTCCCCGCGTGGCAGGCCCCTACTTGTGCTCCTGTGCCCTTAAGCCAGACTCTCAGTAAGGTAGGGAACACAAGATTCCTTCTGGATCATCAGGCAAAGGCCAAGCCATCTTGTAGGATGCTGTGCAAACCTGCTTTCTTCTAGAATTTTGGCACATTCTTCTTTCTTTATAATTGAAAATTCCACGTTCAGTAAGCACATTAGCCAATTCCTTTTAATATGATATCAGTCAATCTCTATGCATTTGCTGTGAATCCGATGTGTCTATCATCACAGTAAAAGCTTTATATTATCCTCAGAAGCCGGTCATTTATAATACATGTTTTGTGTTTTCTTGTAACGTTGTCTTTCTTGTTTTAGGTGCCTCGCAATTTTCACAACAGTTTCAACATTTTATATTTTAAGGTTTTCTTTGTTTCTCTTTCATTTTATTTCCTTCACAATATAGTTAGCTCTGTGTTCATGCAGGGGAAGTAAAGTTAATGAATTAAACAGTTATCTGATAAATTCAATTAAAGCACAATAACAGCTTGGGTCCTTCTGGCTAGATGGAAGTTTCTAGTAACAATTTCCCATCCACGCCACTTCATTATAAATAGTTGATTAATTCTCTTCTCAATCATTAGGGGAAAGGTAGATAATGATTATTGAATACTTATTATGTGTCAGTCACTCTGTTAAGTTCTTTACAGGCATCATTTCACTAGGAGTAGAGAGAGATTAGTTATAGTCATCACAAATTTGCAATTTCTTTGGTTTTCAGGCAGTTGAATTTCACATTTCCCTGAATACGTTCAGGATAATGCACAAGGACAGAATCGCTGCTTGGTGCACTAGTACATGGCCTTCATGAGGGCAGTAATCTCCTCCTGAACCTCGCATCTTGACGTATTTAGCTCCTCCGTGAGAGTGGTTGAATGGAATGTATAATCTCGCTTTTCAATCTCTACATCTACTCGTCTCTATGTACAACATGTAAAAATATCTTGTGAAAAAAAGCTAAGTTGATACTAAAAATGTATTCAAAAGTATATAAGTATTTTGGAATGATTTCTGACATTTAGATCTGTCTTTGTCCAATATTTGGATGTCTTGATAAGAAAACAAGAACTAAATCAATATTTGAGTGACTTAAAGGATCAGGTGACAGGTTAACTCACTTTAAATGCTATTTTGGCTTCAGAAAACTCCAACTGCAAAAGTGAACATTAAATGCCAGCAAAGGCCCCTCCTGCACGTGTGCACAATCAACTCCAGTTTCCCCTGCAAAGTCGGTCACACTTGCTGGCTGCACATGATGGGCTCAGGCCACAGTACTTCACATGGAGGGGAGAAGATGAAGCTTTGCTCGTTCAACCAAAGAGGGTTTACTGAAAATCCATTGCAGGTGTACCTGCAGAGTATGATCTGGAAAATACAAAGGATTAATAAGACAAGGTCCTGCTCTTCTTGGAGAGACAAGACTAGCATGGCTAAAATAAATATAAAAGAATGCAAAGGTAGGATCCAATTCAATTTAATAAAATTTTTCCTTTATATATGTCTGATTGAAAACTATTAGAAACTTAATTCAACAAATACTTTTTGAGCATTGACTATGTACAGCGCTTAGGAAGGCCTGTCCTGTTCATCACTGAACCTTTGTTCCTACAAAATGCCTGACAGTTAGCAGGTAAACAATACACTGTGAATGAATAATGGACTTTACTGTATAGAAAAGCTTACAAGGGAGTAGAGTGGTAAGACAAATATATAAAGAACTGTAGGGGCCAGCCCAGTGGCACAGCAGTTAAGTGCACACGTTCCGCTTCAGCGGCCTGGGGTTCACCAGTTCAGATCCCGGGTGAGGCCATGGCACCACTTGGCAAGCCATGCCGTGGTAGGCGTCCCACATATAAAGCAGATGGGCACAGATGTTAACTCAGGGCCAGTCTTCCTCAGCAAAAAGAGGAGGATTGGTGGCAGATGTTAGCTCAGGGCTAAGCTTCCTCAAAAGAAAAAAAAAGAAAATGATCACAATGCAGTGTTACGAAAGTTCATAAGTGAAGGTACTAAGTAGAAAATTTGGAATACAGGTCCAGTGACAGATAATATAATTTGAGTGAATTTTAGGGGTGTGGTCGAGGGTAAAGCTGTAAAGGTGAGTTGTGGCATGTAGTGAAGGCCTTCTTAGGCGATGGAGCCACAATGGGATTTTAAAAAACAGAACAACATAACTCAGCTATCTGATGTTAAGAACAAGCTGGAAAGTTGTGTCAAGCAGATTGAAATGGGAAGAAAATAGAGGTGAGAAGATGGTTAAGGAGGGTCTGTTACAATTGTACAGACAGTAGGAAATAAAGGGTGTAATTAGAATGGACAGTAGGATGGGAAAAGAAGTAATTTTTCAAATATGTAACAAAAGTAAGCACTTTGTTCTAGAAGTTGCTGGTCAAAACCAGGTTATAGGTTTTGCCTACTGAACATATATGGTGTATTAGTCTAAGGGAGATGGAGGATAAATCTAAACTTGAGGCTGAGAAGAAGGTGATTCCTTCAAATATAATGTGGAACAGGGGAGGGGTAGAGGAGGAAATGCGGTCTTTCCGTTTTCTGTTGAAGATTAGAAATTTATAGTAATTTAGTGAAAGGAGGTTTCATTCTGAGTTGGAGAAGCCAGAGATGGCGAGGATTTAGGACATGAGTTCGGCTGGATAGAAAGACAAGACAAGAACGTTATTGTTCAGAACAGTGAAGATCAACAGGCAAGTTAATCAGCTCTGTTTATATATCTGTTATTAACAGTAATTATTTAATCTGACACCACTTGAGTGTATTGAAGCAATTATTTACATGTTAGGTCTACACAATGCCAAACACTGAAATACGTTGTAATAACCCAAGGAGTTACAAGGGTTTTGTTTGTTTATTTTGTTTTGTTTTGACTCAGGAGTGTGAGATCATGTGGTAACGGCTTCAGCATTTGGCTTGTTTTTCATATTAGGGTTTTCAATCTCTGAGAAGATCCATCCAAGCGAGAGAGAATATTAATGCCACCAATTTAGCCAGGATCGCACATGGAGACCATCAATTACACAAGGAGATGTGTTTTTGGAAAAGGTTATTTTCCAAGTGAAGTTTCTGTTTAAGTCTATCAGGAAAATTAAGATATCCTACAAAACAAAAGTAGACAAAATATCATTTTGTTCATTTTGGATGTGACTTACCAAAATTCTAGATTATTTCTCGTGAGGAGGGGCATCTTTATAAAGTGAGAGAAATGAATGAGACAAGAATAAAATAAAACAGCAGCGAATCCTCTGTTTCATTCTGACATTGATAAACGGCCAATTCTGAGAAAAATTAAAACTGTTTTCTAACAACAAGATCAATTTTGGCAACAAATCATAGAAGTTAGCAGTAGCAACATGTCATGGCTGATTTTAAAATTGTATTTTGTTTAATGCTATAGATTAAATTTTACTGTTTTGATCACAGAGCACTTTGAGGATCTGATGAAAGCTTTGTACATTGTCCTCAGGAGAACATGCAACTTTAAACAAACACAGAGTGTTGCATAAATGGATAAAGTGAACATCCCTTGCTATAAGAACTTATTCCACTCCTGAAGGTAGCAACTTAAACAAAGCTTTTCTTCCCCATTGTTGGAGGAGTGTAAATATGGCTCCTCAGAATATATCAATCCAATGTTATTTGGTCCTCAGTTAAGTTTGACATTATGATAATTCTTCTAATCCTACATATTCTTTAAAGAAATTTGCATTCTTTGCAAAAGCTATTTGTGTGCCTGAGATGAGAGGTAAATCTCTGTCTAATGATCCAGACATAAAACAGGACCAAACTCAATCGGCCAGGGTTCCACTGGGAGCAGGCAGCGGGCCTGGCCCTGGAGCTGATGTTCCTGAACTGTGCTGAGCTGCCCTGAGGGGGTGAAGCAAACTCTTGGGGGCACCGCAAGATATCTTAGATATTTTTATGTGTGTGTGAGGAAGATGGGCCCTGAGCTAACATCTGAGCCCATCTTCCTCTACTTTATATAAGATGCCGCCTCAACACGGCTTGACAAGCAGTGCTGGGTCTGCGCCCAGAATCTCCAAACCCGCAAACCCCGGGCAGCTGAAGGGGAGTGCACGAACTTAACCACTACGCCACCAGCTGGCCCCAAGATATCTTATATTTTTGAGCAAAATACAGTGACGTGTCAGACAGCATGAGAACCACCAGCCCAAGGTGGTTCACAGTTTCAGTGTTAGATTGCATTACATCCTTCTCAGTGACGTCAGATCTTCGTGAAGCTGAGTTTGGGCAGCTGTTGTGATAAAAAGCAAGTACTGCATGAAAATCAATGTGGAGCAGGAAATGACGATGGTGACTTCTAATCGGGTTCTAAGATTTAAGAAATTGTGCAATGCCCAACAACCACATAGATCCCATTATTAAGTAACAGTGGTTATTTAAGAATAAAATAAAATATTATTTTTCCCTTCAATTTATATGAATTATTTTTTTTTACAAAAGGCTACTGAGCTGTTAGGACATAAATATTTATTGTTTGGGGGTTCTATTTAGTAAATGGAGCTATTTGGTGTTTCTTCTGGCCTATGGGCGCCATGAAAAATGGCTGACTCATTAAGGGCACTGTGAACCAAAATGTTTGAGAATGACTGTCCAAAAAGGGGACCACATGAGGAAGACCGAGTCCCTGCCTTCTAGTTGCTCAGAGAGACATAGGTACTGCTAACCACAGTTGAAAGTAAAGTGGGATATTTGTCATAACAGAAATATAGACAAAACTCAAAGAGCTGGGAAATCTCAAGTGCCATTCTGTTAGAGGCAGAAAAGAGAGAATTGAGGTGACATATGAATTTAGCCTTAAGAAAGAAAAAGATGGGAAATAGAGGAAGAACATTCCTCTATGAGGGAACAGCATGAACAATGGCACAGAGGCATAATAAACATCTTCTTTGGTTGGAAAGGGGAAAGGCAAGGAGTGGTAAGAAATAACCATGCTGGAAAGCGGCAACTTTTACCATGGACAAGGGGAAGACATTGGAAGCTTCTGGATAAGGATGTGATCAGAATTGTGCCTTAAAAAGCTAAGTATTCCAGTGATATGAAAGATGGGGTTAGGGAGAGAAGGTATTAAAGATGACTATAGTTTCCAGCTCAGACAAAACCTCTTCTTTGCACAAGCAATGCTTTATCAATCTGTGTGTTGATACTACCTAGCACAAGCCTGATAATTTGAGGCACTGAATAATTGGAATTTGAGGTACTGGAGCAGACAGAAATGTCTCATGGAAACTATGGGGAAATATCCTACAGTGCAGGAGAGAGGTCAAACTTGTGGTGTCAATTTGGGAGTCATCCACCTAGAAATGAGAGAAGGAACTGACAAAATACAATTTCACAGGGAGCAAATATAGATTAAAAAGAGAAGAAGCCCAGTGACAGATCCCTGGGGAACAGCCACCACTGGGAATAGTGGATGAGCTGCCGGCAGAAGAGACAGGGAGGGATGGAGGGACATGCACGGGGTAGAACCAGAGGGAGTGCTTTCCCAGGAAACAAAGCAGGACAGACTTTCAGGATGGAGACGATGGCCTAATATCAATCAGAGGAGGAAAAATCCTACAAGGAAGCTACTGGATGTGGTAATTAGCAGGTCCTTGGTGACCTTGGAGAGAATGAGTCCAGTAGGATTTAGAGGCAGAAGCCAGATGGCAGTGGAGGTGATCAGAGAGACCCTTCTGGAGAAATGTGGAAGTAAAATGGACCTGGAATGGGAGCTTTAGATGAAAAGAAGTTTGAGGGAAGATGGTTTGGGGACGGGAGTAACTGAAAGGAGAATGCAGTAAGAGGACTAGAACACAAACAGGTCCACATACAAGAGAAGGAAGATATCGTTCAAGTTTTCAATGAGAGAGAAGGGAGTGGAGTTAAAAACAGAGTCGGTTCCTTTTCTCTTCCTCTCTTTCTTCCTTCTGTTCCTTTGCCCTTTCCTTTTGTCCCCCAGAGCAGGAGCAGGGTGTGGAAGGGGTTCATGCAGGAGCAAAAGTGGGATGAAGAGGCCATCTGTGCTAGTGGAAGGGCAGCCCATAGTGGGGTGGGGTCTGGGTGGGGTGAGAGGAGGGTTTTTATGAGCTGGTGGGGGCCTGGCAGGAATGAGGAGGGCATAAGCGATGAGGTGGAGCAGCGATGGCGTGGGAGATTCCTTACACACAGGAGGATTGATCAAATAAGTGAATTTTCAAAGAATAAGGGGGGCTAGATTGCTCACTGCTGGAGAAGGAAGTTACAAATATGAAAAGGAAGAAAAGCTTAGACTGAACTCTATGATTTGGGATTGGAATTGAAGATATTAGTGTGAGCTCATGGATTTCAATATGTATAAGCATATATAAAAA